AAAGATCTAAACTGGATTTGAAGATCGATAAATATTTTAAAGTGACTGGATTTTAGCAAGAAGAAAGCTCAGACATGGATTGATGTAGAGGACACTTTACTATGTAAAATAAGCCAATTACAAAAAACAAAACAAAACAAAAAAACCTCAAACCAAACAACAACAAATTCTGCATGATTCCACTTATATGAAGTACTTAGACTAGTCAAATTCAGAGACAGAAAGCAGAATAGTGGTTTTCAAGGGCTGGTGGGAGGGCAGATGGAGAGTTATTAAATGAGAATAGAGTTTCAGTTTTCAAGAAGAGTTCTGGTAATTGATTGAATAAGAATGTGAATATAGTTAACACTACTGAATTTATCCTTAAAATTAGGTTAGAATGGTGAATTTTATATTATGAGTATTTTTTATTTGCTGAACTCAGGGCCTTGTGCTTGCTAGTCAGATTGCTCTACTACTTGTGCCATAACCCCAGCCCTGTTTTCTGAGTATTTTACCAAAATAAAAAATTCTAAAATATTTAAAAGGCCACTGATGACATTGGCAAAAAATAGTTTCAAAGAGGCAAGTCAAGAAGGAGGTATTTTTGGGATGGTAAGAAGGGAAAGATGGTAAGATTAGATAATGGTGGAACAGCAGGTGGAAAACCCAAAAGAAGTTGAAAATGGAGGCTTGAAAAAATTCTATGTATAGAGAGAAAGTATTATCAAGGGTCAAAATTAGAAAATGAAACTGGGAAATATAAAAACTGGGGAAAGAGGATGAAGGTACAGTTGCCTTCTAAGTGTAAAACTTGCATCTCTTGTCTTCTATGTATTCCCATTTCCTAGGTGACTTTATTTACTTTCATGATCTTAAATAATGAATATGCTGAGACCTTTCATCTGTATATCTTTAGCTCAAATCTCCTAAGCTCTATGGACAACTGTGTTCAGTTGCCTCCTCAATACTTCTAGTGGAATTTCTAATAGGTGCTTCAAACTTAACATGTTCAATATAGAATCCCTGATTTCTACCACCTCCATCTTTCTCACTTCGGTAAATATCTATAGTTAGATTTGTTTAGGTTAAAACCTTACAGTTCATTTTGACTCTTCACGTTCTTTCATCTTTTACTTTTAATTCCCTAGCAAGACCCGTTAGTTTTACCTTCAAAATATATCCTGGATCCTGGATCTCTCATCATCTCCACTGCTACCTCTCTGGCCCACATCTCTTTGGAGTACTGATAGCTTTCTAAGTAGTCTTCCTAGGTTTTCTCCTTGTCCCTTCTATATGCCATGCCATATAGATCCAGAGTACATTAAATATGTAAGACCTGTTATATTCCCTTATGTTCCATGCTATGTTTCCCTTCCTCACAGTTGGGCATTTAGAATAAAATGACCTTGCTTCTGCTGTCTCTCCAACCTGACCACCTTTGTCTTTGCTTCCTGTCACATAGACCTTGCTATTCCTCAAACATGAGACCCATGTGTACTGCGTCAGGAATTTTCCTTTAGTTTTCCCTCTGTCTACATTTCAACCATATGGCATACTCCCAGTGCCTTCAGATCTCCACTCAAATTTTACCTCATCATTGAGGCTCAATTACCCTACCTATAACAGAAGATTTTGTCAGGTCCAGACAGGAAAATCAACCCTTCTAGGGCAGGGGCGTCTGCCTGAAGCACTAAGTTCAACCCCTAGCACTGCCCAAATTCTTCTAGTATTTCAAATGGAGGAGGTGGAAGAAGGGAGTTTTACAAGTGATGTAAAGTTGGAGGAGCAAAAGGAGAAAATTGTGTTGTGAAAGATCCGTGACTGTGGAAGTTGCTGTTGTCTCTAAGGCTATCAGAGGAAAATGATGTTACTGAGAGTTGAGGGGCTTGTACTTCTGCTAATGCTTTTACCTTCTTTTCACCTTCTAATATCACATGAATGCATTCCAACGGCAAAACTAAAGGCCAGAAGGGGTAGTACATGACCATAATTGCAGTACTCGGGAGGCTGAGGCAGGAGGATCACAAGTTTGAGGACAGCTTTGATTCTGTAGTAAGACCATCTCAAAAAAACAAAACAAAAAATCTAGTTAGACTACAACTTGCAAGACAGCCTGAGACATCTAGTTTTTAGGCTTCCAGCCTAACTGCAGTAGGGGAGAATATAACAAGGCTGATGTGGGATAAGTTTCAACAGATAATATCTGGCATATACCTCCTCTACTGCTGATTGCTATCACTTTACCTCTCTTTATTTTTATTCATATCATTTATCGTTATTTGTTTATTGACTATCTCCAATTGGAATTTAACTTCTATATGAACTGGGAACTTGCCTCTCTTGCTTGCTGTTGATCTGTAGCATCAGAACACTGTCTGGCATCAGTAGCATACTAAATGGGGAGGAGTGGCCTGCCTCAGCGGAGAGGAATAGTTTATCACTGATATTGTTTAGAATTGCCAGTGCATGGTGATTATAAAAGCAGACGGAGTTTTAGTCAGTTTTATTACTGTTTTCTAATTTTCCACAGACAGTGCATTCTCTCTGGTTTCTAGCTCTGTTCCCCTGGAAATTTGATAAATATGAAATGTCAACTTGTTACTAGGCATCATTCCTTATGGTAAAATGATCTCCGGTATCATGCATGTGGACTAGGGTGTAATATAAATGAACTATAAATACTTAATGAGAACTCATAGCTTTGATTATGGTAACACTTATAACTGGGCATTTACTCTATGGGAACCCTAGAAGCTACCTAAGATTTTTATAAGAAATATTGATTTCTATATAGGATATGGGCTTCTAAGTTAGGGTGGCTCCCACACTTTCCTACTACAAGTCTTATTTCCTTGTACCTGAGCTGTTACTTGAAGAATAAACAGTAGCTAGGGATGGCTATAAGGACTACTAAAAGCTCTAGTTCCAGTGAAAAAACAATCCTTATGTTACCCTGCTGGATGCTAAGATTCCTGTTCAATATCTTTCTAAGTAAATTGGTTCAAGGTATTTTCTATTCACATCTTGTCACTCTGATTTTTTTTTTCCCCAGTGGTGAAAATCAAACCTAGGGTCTTGTACATGTTAGCAAATGCTCTAACACTTAGCTACATGCCCTAGCCCTCAAGACTCAATGTTTAATTAAGAGAATACCCTGGTGGGCATTCCAGTCATGTAACAGATGCTTATATACTAATTGAACAAGTTCATGAGGTTGGGAATGTTATGCCTACAATCACTTGGTATTAATCTAAATTTTAATATGTATAGTTTGCTGAAATCAACAAATATCTAAATCAGCTACTGTGTGTTAGTTTTATTTCTTTAATTTTATAAAAATTCCCTTGTCTTTTTTTTTTTTTCCTGGTTTGAACTCAGGACTTCATGGTGGCTAGGCAGCCACTCTACTGCTTGAGCCACACCTCTAGCCCTTTTTGTTCAGGTTATTTTGGAGATAGGGTCTTGCTTTTTGCCCAGGCCAGCTTGGATTGTAATCATATTTTAGGTTTCTTGCCATTGCTGGGATGATAGGCACAAGCCACCATGCCCGGATTTTTCCCTTGGGCTGGCCTGGAACTGTGATCCTCCCTATCTCAGCCTTCCAAGCAGCTACAGCCAGCCTCCCATTATCCTTAACAAAGTTATATCATCAGCAAATATTGGGCAGGTGTTAAACAGTATACAGACACATTTTATGGTATACTTTGGGTTGCTTACGGAAACTGTCCTGCTTACCAATACATTACATTGGAAGAAATGGACATATATTAATTCATTAATTGAAATCCAAATACTTAAGGGGAGCTTGTATTGTGACTGGCTAAATTATAGCCTTGCCACATTAATAAAGTGTAAATTCTTTTGGTCTAAAAAATGATTTTTTTTTTTTTTTTTAGTTATTGTTTCTGAGAATCTCAAGCCTTCAGAAGATACTACACTTTACTTATCTCTTTTAACACCAATTACCAGTATAGTGCCTGGCATAGAGGTACCCAATAAACATTTGTTGAATGAAACTAAACTATGTGGTCACAGAGAGTCATAACAACACCTGATTTTGGAAAGGAGTAAAGGAAGAATGTCAAGTAATATGAAACCAGAGATTATAAAATTGAGAAGTTGATTTCTTTCTTTCTCTGTTTATTTGTTTTTCAGGTGGTACTGGGTTTGAACTCAGGGCCTTATTATGCTTGCTAAGCAGGTAGTTCTACCACTTGAGTTCCAACCCCAGCCCAAAGATAATTTCTTTATGATGTTAAATATAGTATCAGTCAATGTAAGGGTATTAAAATCACCAATATACAGATCAAAATGAAAAGAATGTTTGCTTTGGGTCAATCAATAGTTTTAGGGAATGACTAGTATACATATACTGGGAAATATGCAAATCTGGGATGTCGGTTTAGTTCTTCATTAGCAAAACAAAAGATTCTATTCCTTTGTCCTAACCAAAAGAACAATAAGGGTCATAGAAAGATCCTTGAAAATTTTCATGATGAAGATTTTTAAGAAACTAAAAATAATGCTAATAATAGGATCTACTTTCATAATGAAGTGGGAGAGAAAAAAAAAGAAGTCATATTAATCTTTTCTTTAATAGTATGGTCTAAAGGAAATTACTTTTAAAATCTCAGTAGTTTCTGATTCTGCTACAAGGCATTAAATTTCTAGCAGATTTGCTACTTAGTATTTACCATATAACCTGAGAGTCCCTTATGCCATCTTGCAGGAAAAGCAGTGAGCAGGAAGTTTTTCAGGAGTTCTCAAACAAAACAAAACAAAATTAAAAAAACAACAAAAAAACCGTAAGTTCTTCTTTCTGAATTAGGCTTGAAATGACATTTAGACCCATTTTGGACAGCAAGCCCCGAGAGATGCTATCAGTAGAGACAAAAACTACGCAAAACAAAACAAAAAAAACAAATACAGATTATCAAACCCCTCTTGGTGAATAAAGGTTACATGGAACTTTTAACAAAAACAGGGACTAGCCATGGTATCCTGATTCATTGATTTATTTCCCATACAGAGGTGGTCCATCATTTCAGCAACAGGATAGTCCCAAGTCATTGTCCTAATAGACTAAATATTGTGTTTCCAAAGTTTGATACCTAAAGCTTGCAGCTAACATTTTTTATGTCACTGAGTGTATCAAAAAGTCATTGGTTATAATATTTCATGCTAATAAATGGAAGGGAACACTTCTTAATATGTGATCTCTAGTTCTTTCTTCTCATCTTCTGTACTTGAACTATCCAGAGGCCAAATTATAACTTCTCTGTTACAGAAATGTGGTCCCATTGGTAAGATTCATAATTTCTTTTCAATACCAAATAGATGTCAGAAATACCTTTATCTTGTTAGCCCTACCTACCACTTTTTAATTATTATTATTATTATTATTATTTTACCTCATTCCCTGTTGACATGACGGCAACCACTGGAAACTTATTAACTTCAACCTCTGTGACTCCTACAGTTGCCAGGAGACCAATCTCTGAAGGGCCCATGTGGGTTCCTTTGGCCAAAACACATTCTCCTCTTTTAATGTCATGGCCGATGGGTCTGAAAGTCAAAGCAGAACCATAAGCAGAATGACTAAGAAAAACATTTCTCTCAACTCAGAGGGAAACTTTATTTTCAGAGAAGGAAGACACTCAGGAGAAAACAGAACACAGATGAGAAAGGAGCAAAATAATGAAATTCTAAAAACTCTAAGCTTTTGTAATTTTAAGTTATATCACACTACAGAAGATGGAAACAGGATTTGTATCTGTTACTGTTAAACAGGAATATGTTATGTCAATATTTGAAAATTAAAGATTTCTTTGCATTACATTATAGTTTAAAATACCAATTTCAAACTGCAAATATTTGTATAAAAATATCTAGTGGCATTAATAGAGTTTCTTAACTAGTTAGCTTTATGTTCAGGAGAATGTTTGAGTTTATTGTTGTAGAGGTAATTTCCATCTAGACTACTTAGGTTGACCCTGACCTGAGGCCATTCACTTTAGGTACATGCATCTTAGTCTGCTGCCATTGTGATGGGAGAAGCACAGATCTGTTATGAAGGGATGTTAGGCAAGTAAATATTAATAGAATCCAGGTAAACATGTCCTATTGTAAGAAAAATAATTTAAAGTATGTGTGCTGTTTATAGTAGGACAGAAGCTTCATTTGTATATAGAAAGAGTAGAAATTATTCTATTATTAAGGGTAGTTGGTTGGATATGCTATCAGCTAATTGTGTTAATATCTGAGACTGGGATCATCTGGACAATCTATAGGTTGGGGTTGAGTAATTTTGGATTATAAGGGGTAGAATTACCTGTGGGTTATATGGACTAGGATTTTACTTTATTTTCATGTTGCTTTTGACTATATTACTTACTTTTACCATTTTCACTAAAAAGTAAGCAAGACAGATATGGGATGTAAAATTCAGAAAACTGATTTTGCTTTGTGTTAAAGCTTAAAAGCAAATGGCTAATTGACATAGCTGACATAGCTGTGGATTTGTAATAGCTATGTTTTCCTGATTTTATGATCCTGTAGAAACAAAAACGGGCTATACTTCTATATGTTATGAACTTACCTGATATCTTGGCCTGGCCGAGCCTGCACCAGAATTCGTACTTCAAGTTCTTCAGTGCCCTATAAAAAGAACAGGCCACATAATTTCAAACAGAACTATCTAACAGAATTTCTGATCTGTAGTATTTAGCTTCTGTTTAGAGAAACAGGTTCCCAAATACGTGCAGATTTTTCAGTGAAGGACTTACAGTGTGCCTGATAGTAGATTTCTGTAAAGTAATGGCGATCATCTACTTTACATTTATAGGCTGTGAATAATATTGTGTCATTAGAACTGTGTATTGTCATCTGGCAGTCTAAGAATGCATGTATTCTGGATTTCAATGCGCTGTTGACTTCCCTGATGCCAATAAATCTCTGTTTGGACAGTTTTAATAGCAGGGAATGTGATCTGTATGCCAAGAGTTGAATTTTATAGGTCCTGTATGTGAGAAGGTTATTAAAAAGAAAATTTCAGATTAAGAAAAGTGACTGTCTCTCAGCATGGCCCATAATCTATGAGAATTAAGATACCTTAAACTTTTTCACTAATCATATAAAAGGATGACTTCCAGTCATTAAAATCTCAGCTGAATCTTTCCTACTTTTAGGGTGGCTAATACTTTGCTTTCAATAACTGCCATTAGTTTCAGTGAGAAAAAAAGGCATACTCAAACCCCAAGATTCCTGTGCTTTTTTAGACAGTGAAAAGAGGATTGACATACATTTACTATTTCAGGATGTTATTTAGTGGCACAGCTTTTTCCTGAGTTACAGAAAACCAGAGGTGAGAAGGTAATTTGGTTGGCTTGGCTATTTAAGAACTTCTCCAAATGTTTTTGTTTTTTGCTAAATTCTTCTTTACTAAATTCTGATTTCATTAACTCATTCACATTTTATTAGAAGCTAGTCTCAGTGACAGATTTCTCAGCTAGAAGGCATGTCAATTGTTAATACCACAGTTCTATCATGAGGTATTTTCTTTTCCTTGTTTTCATGTGAAATTTCTCATGTTAAACATGATTCAAATTCTAATAACAACAGCAAAAAACCTACTCCTATGACAAAAGATTTTCAAGCCTATGACAATTTGTTATTTACTATAGACCCCACACATTATAATGCAAGACCCAAATGTAACAACAACAACAACAAAAAGCCCTTAGGTTAATCTCATAAACACTGCAGACATTATGCAGGTGACCTGATGGTGACATACATCATCTGATTCCCTGATAAGTTCAGTATCTTCCACTTGCACTACTGCATCAGCACCGCAGGGGATTGGAGCACCTGTTGTAACACGCATGACTTGTCCTGGCATTACAGTCTGAGTTGGCTGGAAGTACAAACATGAAAGAGACAGCTGATTACCTTGCTGCTGCATCTGCAGGAGATGTACCATTCTTAGAAACAAATAATGAAGTAGTCTTAACAGTTTTACTGCTTTTGGACCAATGTAATACCAATTACTCATGAATGAGTACAATCACAACCAAGAGGTTAACTTGATTTAAGTTGACGTTAAATTTATTGTTAAGGTAATGACTATTAGATGTCCATATTTTGGAAATAGTCTTTGTGTTAAACCTCTTTAACCTCTCCTTTTCCAGATACCTTGTTCTATCATCCCAATGTCTTGACAGTGGCTGATATAAACTGGTAGTAAATAAACATCTCCAAATGAATAAATGAATATGTATTAGTTTCCCTTATTATCACAACAATTACATGAAGCATTCATTGCTTCTTGTCTTACAACTCCAATCTTGCTGTTTTTCTTCCATATTTATTGGAGAAAGAGACTTGGGATAAGACATGGCATTAAGCTACGTGCCTTATATCCTTATATTTTGTTATCTGAATAAAAGTCATTCATAATTGTTACAGATCAATGTAATTTTCTACTAAAATAATGCATAGAATTAAAAATGTTGAGGACATGTCTTTATCTCTTAATCTATCATGCACAATCATTTTTTAGTATAGTGACTTTTTTTTTACCTTGTTGTTGTGATGGGTGGGGGCACACTGTGGCATTTGCACAGGTTCTTACAATGCATCAAATATATCATATATGAATTCACCTCCTCAACCATTCTCCTTCTTCTCTCCCTCCCTCTATTACTGGAGTAGTTTCAACACATATCATTTTTGCATTTACTTACATGTGTACACATTTTATTGCACTGTATTCATCCTTCTACCCCTTTTCCCCACACTTACCCCCCTCCCACTGGTGCCAGCCCTCCCACCCTGGGCAGGACTTTTTCCAACCTCTTGTTCTCCGATTTTGTAGGAGAAAAAAAGAGAAAACATAAGACGAAAAACATGACATTTTAGCTTAAGATAAAGGTAGCAACACAGGGAGTTTCCTTGTGATATTTCCATGTATGTATGTATTAACCCCAATTAGTTTATCTCTTCTAATTTTCTTCATTTTATGTTTATTCTTGTATAGTGAGTATATCAACCCTATTCAAGTTCTTAGTTTCCCTATTCCTCTCATGTGTGACTTCCCCTTAGTGTGAACAGTGTTTCATAATATTGCTACATTTGCTTTATCAAAGCAGGGTTTCCTAAGTAACTCAGGCTGGTCTAGAAACTTACTATGTGGTCCAGGATGGCTTTGAACTTGCAATCCTCCTGCTTCAGTCTCCTGAGTACTGGGATTATAGGCATGTACCCCATTACTGGCTAGTGTAATCATCTTTCTAGCAATATATGAATCACCATTCTAGCAATATATGAACTAGTTTTCTTAGATTGTTAAGGTTAGCACTTATATTTTCTGTTCATTTTTTCATTGAAATTCTTTATATTAGTTACTTTTTTTTGGCAGTGCTGGTGTGTGAACTCAGGGCTTTGCACTTTATAAGCAGGGGCTCTACTGACTGAATCATGCCTCAAATTATATATACTTTATATTAGTAAAAACAGTTCAAATCTTGACTTTTCCTTAATGGAGATACTGAGCTTGATTATTTGACCTTTGTATAATTATAACAAATTATAATTATAATTATAATAAATTATATAATTTATAATTATATAATATTTTATTTGAAAGTGTCCAGTGCTAATCATTGGGACCAAACCATAAGTGATTTAAGGTCAAGGATTTAGTATACAAATACATTATTTTATAAATCACCACCTCAGTGTATACAATGGCATCTCAATGCTCAAGTGTAAGTATTTTCAGTAAGTGAGTAATTTGGCTCTTGAAAGATAGCTGAGATTGTTATAATGTATGTGTGACACATCAGTAATTTGAAGACAACTCTACTTTTCTGGTATAATTTTGATCTTTTCCTTATTAAACTTTTATAAGAACTTAGAAGAAATTAGCAACATTTAAGTTTCACAACTATTCTTGTTCTCCTAGTTCTCTAGTAGGTTGGAGGTCTTAATTGATGGTAAAGAAAGTTGAAGAGGCTCACAAACCCTTCATCTGCTTTGTTGTGGCTTCCACAAACTGTTTATAGTTCCCTTAAGTATCCCAAGTAATAATAATAAAAAAACCCCAAAAAACAAAACTTGTTGGTCTTTGACTTATCCTGTTTTCTCTACCTAGAATGAATGCCCCTTTCCCTTTCCTGTTTTTGCAAAACTCTCTAAGGCCAGTTGCAAGTTATCCCCCAAAGCCCTCAGGCTGAGATGTCAACTTCTCTTTTGTGGCCACAGCACTTGATTGATGCTCTTAGTTTAATATCTGCTATATTATATCTAGTTGTTTATATTGTCTGCTCCACTAAACTCCTCAAGAGTAGAAATTATATATTATTTTATATCCTGGAACCTAGCACCTGGTACACATGTAGGTGTGCTTGATAAAGAAATTCTGTACTCAATCAAAGAGCAGTAAGTACTCCATGAATAATTGCTATGTTGTGGTTTTGTTATAAAAATGGATGCTTTAGATGTCCATTGCTAATGGAAATAGATAGAAAGAAGTAAATAAATTATGAGTCACAGGGTAAGTCATATATAATGAACAATCAAGACTAGCTATTCTTTTCTTCAGGAAAACAGTCATGGAGACCATAGCAGGGCTGTGTGCAACGTGGACAAAATCTTAGCTTCCTCTTCCTAGGCTAGGATACTCAACTGCTACTCCCAAGCACTCATAAACACTATATAAGAATAAAAATGGTTGGACTGGAGGCGTGGCTCAAGTGGTAGAGCACCTGCTTTGCAAATGCAAAGACCTGAATTCAAGCTCCAATACCACCAAAAAAATGGCAATAAATAAATATTTATTTTAAAACATGGAAGTTTTGGAAAAAGCTATTCCCATGTCTTTTCTTCCTTGGTTTATCATGTACTTCCATATGTATTGACAACAGAAAGGGGTTAAGAAAATTATGTAGGAGAAGGATGATGCCAATGGTAGTGATCCTAGACTCTAGTTTCCTTATTTCAGCATCCAAGCATTGAAGAGATACATGTAGTTCTATTCAGAAAAAACAATAAATGGATATTTCTAGCTGTATTGGGGATTGAATTCACTTTTTAGGCAAGCACTCTACTACTTGAGTCATGCCCTTATACTTTTGCTTTTAGTTTGCTTTTCACATACAGCCGCATGCTTTCGCCCAAGCTGGCATCAAACCATGATCCTTCTACCTCTGCTTTGGAGGTACTGAAGTTTGAACTCATGGCCTTGTGCTTGTTAGGCAGGTGCTCTACTACTTTGAGGCACACCTCCAGCCCTTTTTGTTTCAGTTAATTTTTGAATAGGGTCTTGTGTTTAAGCCCAGACTGACCTGGACCATGATCTTCCTATTTATGGTTTCTTTGTGCACCACCATGCCCAGCTTTTATTAGATGAGATGGGGTCTAGTGAACTTTTTGCCCTCCAGTGATCCTCCTGATCTCCACTTCCTGAGTAGCTAGGATTACAAGTGTGCATCACTACTCCTGGCCAGAAAAATGAGTATTTTTATAAAAAGAAAGAATTACTCAAATGCAGGGCTTGCTTGTGAGGCACGTCTGTGGGGGGCATACCAATATGCCATATATTAATAGAAGGAGGTTCTTTAAATTAAGAAACAATTATTTTGGTTTTCATGGGAACCATCCCTTCATATCTTTAATAGCCTTCTGACTAATCTTTCTCTTAACATTTCCACAACACTAACAGAAGTTTAGAATTAGCTGCCCAAAGTCTGTGAAGCTGAAATTCTCAGTGCCTTCAGGACTATGAATCTCACCTGTTCACCAGCTTGAGATTCCCCAATGATGAAACGATCTCCTGGACCATCAGCAGCTGTAAGATGGAACAGAGCCAAGAATAAACATCAGTATGGACCTATAGCAAGGAATAAGAACCTAATAATGGAATTCTAAAATTTCACTCAAATAATTTGAAAAGGCTTCAGAAAATGGGGATATTTTCTGATATCACAGACTACACAATAACTTTGTTACTACTGGTTTGATTTGGTATCCAACAATTTCCGAGGATCAGTAGAAGTGGAACTAACTGTGCCCTTTCTTGGTGTCACTAGAGATGGATTTTCTGTCACCTTATAATTTCCACACTTGTGCTTTTTTAATAGGACGCTCTTTTAGCTTAGCCTCCTATTATATCATCTTATCTGTGTGCATGTTATTTTTGATATGTGTGTACACATTCATGGATGTATCACTATGCGTATCTATACTTCATTTTTCTGTAAAATTTTTACTGTTTATTGTCTAGACCAGTCCTACTGGCAAGATAATGCCTATCTAATAAGTTTTATGATCACAACCATTTCTTCTATAACAAAGGTTAGGGGACATATATACAAAGAAGACAACATGAATTATATTTGCAATAACACTGATAGATAATGAAAAAATTCCCCTTTTAAAGGACATATGAAATTAATTCTTTTTCCATTTTTGTGAGACAGGGTTTCATTATAGCCTAGGTCTACCCTGAACTCATGATCCTCTTGCCTCAGTCTCCCAAGTTCTGGGATTACAGAGGTATAGTACCATGCCCAGCTTTATGTAAGTAAAAGTAGTAATTATTTTCTAAAAGCTTGAATAAAATATTGTTATATAACGAGTCATTTTTTTACACAGATGGCTTTGGTTAATCTAATTTGGGTCCCTTCTATCACTACATATTGTATGTTGTACTTTTAGATATTATCTCAGTTAATAAACTCTGATTCTTTGTATTTTTTGGAAATCTATGATAGTTCCAATGTTTACTTGCTCAAATTAGAATTTTCTGGAATTGCTGTTTTTTTATTCTGCCACTTTTGTAGTTTCTTTTCTTAAAAAAACTTTTTAAAAGGAACAGTTTAAAATAGAGAAGTCATTATTTAAACAATTATGAACATTTTACAAATGTTATTTAATGTATCCCTCCAGTTCTTTTTGCAGTATTTTAAAAGCAAATGATTTTTTTCTGATTGCAGAAAACTAATACATCAATTATCTTTTAAAATTCCATACTAACTTCACCTCAAATGTGAACAAACTTATTTTTAATGATTTCTTTATTACAGAAATAAAATTATCAGATTGTTACTTCCCAAAGCAATCTAGACATTTTCTCTTTCTAATTCTTGCACAAGTACAAATTTGAACAATTTAAAGTACAGCGAAATTGAATCTGAATCATGATTCTGCTATTATTAGCATCAGGACGTTCAGTGAAATTATTAAACCTCTAACATTTAGTTTTCTTGTTGATACAATGAAGATAATCATACTATAAAATAATACCTTTCAAAGCTATTCATTTCCTTTATTTATTCAGCAAATTTCTACTAAGTGTTTTCTATGCCCTAAATGTTATTCTAGGGGCTGAGGACAGTGTAGAGAGTAAAACAAGACATTACTTCCATTCTAATGCTGTGCCAGTCTGTTGCAAGGTTTTTCAAATTCTGGAGCAAGATGGAAGTAGACTATCAAATCAACTTGTAAACACTTTTCTAGTCAAAAAGCATACAAAATATATTTCCTAGGCCAGGTAGTGCCATGAGCCTGTAGTCCCAGCTATTCCACAGGCGGAGGCAGGAAGATCACTTTGAGTCCTAGAGTTTTGAGACCAGAGACCAGCCTGCAAAACATAGTTAGACTGTCATCTTAAAAAAGTAAATATATATCTTATCATGCATGGTAAGGAGGCTGTTTTTTCATAAAATTTGTTTTTGCTTATATATGTGTGTATGCATATTTATATGTATTGTATATGTTGTGTGTGTGTGTGCATACCACTGACTTGTGATGTAAAATGAATTTAATGTATTTCTTCCCATGGGTATGGTTAAAACAATACAAAGTCACTGATGAAGTAGGGAAAATAGATATTAGCCAAATAATCACATTCATAAATATATAAATACAAATTAGGAAAACCACTCTAAAGAAAAGGAACATGAGTGGTTTTTGGTTTTGTTTTGTTTTGTAGAGACAGGGTTTCACTATGTAGCATAGGCTGGTCTCAAACTCACAACCCTCTTGCCTCTGTGTTCTGAGTGCTGAGATTACAGGTGCACACTATCACCTAGCTAAGAACATGATTTTATGAGAATATACAGTGAAAGCACCTGTACAAAAGGATTTCTGATTTGAATATGAAGGATAAGTAAGAGCTACATAAGTGTGTGTTATGAAGTGGAAATGCTCCATTATTATGTGCAAAGGCCTGTGATTATGTGTTCTACCCCTTACACTCTAGTTATTCTTAAGTTTCCAGAGAGTATCAAGATGACTCAAATTTCAGCTCCATGGCATGCCACTTCTACTACTCACAGTGTCTTTTCTTTATCACTGTCTTCTCATTAAAGACTTCTTAGCTTTTAAGACTCAGCTCTAATATCACCTTCCTTATAAAGTCAGATCAGATTCCCCTCACCTCAAGAGTCACCTACTTTCCCGGTGTAGCCTCAATTAACTCTAAGTATGGCTTCTGAATGTATTTGCAGCTATGTGTTTACTTATCTCAGAAGAATCCCTAGCCTTTGTCATATAATAGGTATTAAATAAATGTCCAATATGTGAAGTGTTCAAAATGTTGAATAAATGAGCGAATATTGTTTCTAAGAATCTTTTAGAAAGATGTATACATGAATGAACAGATGGTATTTTCCAAAATAAAATTTCATATGTATACTGTATGTGTTTTCTGCTGATCCATGCATATTTTCTTTGAAACTTGAATCAACATATACATCTTAAGAATGTTTAGAAAGACTGCTCTGATTGATTTGATATAACTTAGATTATGTCATTTTATCTATCATGGTGTCTAGATCATTGTTGATATTCAGTATTTGTAAAAAGAATAAAGAAATAAATTTGGAATTTCCACACTACTTAAGAGGGAAGTTTGTAAACTGCCTAGTACTTATTCCATAAATGTATGTATTTGATCTCTTTAGCTAGAGAAGCAGGGACTACTTCCTTTATTTCTCTTTTGAAACCCTCTGTTCTTCATTCTTCTTCCCTTCTCCAGTCTTGATCCTCCGTAAACTCAAAAAGCTTACGTCAATGTTGTGTGTAAATGCTCTGTAAATGTCATGGAATGATGAGTGGCTGGTAATCATCTAAAGCAATATAGAAGCAAGCCTGTATAGCACCTCAAAGACCTAAATATCTGAAAGAGTTCTTTTATGTGATTCTAGAAGCAAGCAAGGTCCTTTATCGTCAGGCATGGTACACCACCTGGGGAGAGAATACCTTCTCACTTGATGATGTTCTCTATCTTTCCCTGACTCTATATGGTGGTAAAGGGAGGCTCAGCCAACTAACAATATAGAAAGTTCTTGGTACCAACAGAGGAGTCAGATTTATTATTTCCTTTTTACAACACTGTTTCCCAAACTTTAATGTGTATCCAAATAATCTGGAGAGTTTGTAAAATAGATTATGATTCAGTAGGTCTGGGATTGACAAGCTAATGCTGATACTGCTGGTCCTCGGACTATCTTTTCTAGGAGCAGAGCACTGTAAGATCAAATGAATACAGAAAATTCAGAATAAGAGAAAACTTACGGAATAAAAACTAGTGAACCACCTAAGATCAGATTTTACAATTTCTTACAGGCAGAAAAATAATGATCAATCAATCTAAAACTCAGTATTTATTTAAAAATCTATTTTAAAAGGTGCCATTTTTTCAAAATAAATTCTACAATCTTAGACAGGAAGAGGCAGAAGTGGAGGGAGGCATGGTGGCACATGAGCCTAAAGCTCGGAAACAAACTATGTAAGCCAAAGTATTAGAAAAGATAGATGGATTCCAAGGATTTTGGTAAAGGCTTGAATTTTCCTCTTCTTCATTCTGACATATCTGATCCTGAGCTTTCTTTTTCTCCTTTGTAACTGTAGAATTTAATTTGAAGGAATAAAAACAATGTAAACCAAACCCTAGCAGCACATGCATTATGTAAACAATTCATAGAGCTTGATGCTAGACCTCGAAACTGTTTTCTCTTCTTCCTTGTTTTCTTAATGCTCATCTGTTTATTTGAAGATTTATGGTTACAGAATTTGATATGAAATTGAAACCAGTGGATAACTATTCATTGTGGCACTGAAAATGATCATCCTCAAACCATTTGCCACAGAAGTACCCTTCATTTTCATTTCCCAGTCATCTGTGATGACTCCTTAATCCCCTTTAAGTACTGTATGGCTATTCATTTATTTTAAATAGTAAGGAGTTTCATCATTACCAGGTCTAAATAAACTGAGGCCTATATAAATAGCATAACTTTCAGTGATCCTAGGAAATATCTTTGGCAAAGGCATAAGATTGAGACATTAACAATTTGTCTACTCTACTTATAAAACTACACTAAAGCTGGATGGTAGACACAGGATAACAGTACTTAGGTGTATACTAAAACTAAGATTATAGGAAGGTTTAGGGTGGGGAGTGTGAAAAGAAAAGATAACAAGGCTGGAATAAGAGGATTAATACTTACAGCAATTATATTGAGGGGTTAAATTGCTTGGAATTTAAAATCTGCTGCCTTTTCTTATGGGCAGATAAGTGAGAAGGTCTTTTCTAGTCTTTTCCAGGGAGAATGCCCATTTATTGCTACTATTGAGAAATGGGATATTTCTTTGCTTAACTATAATATTTTAACTGTTTTGCAATTAACTAAAATTAATTATTTCAAATTATCTATCTGCTCACATGAGCAATACTCTCCATATCATACGTATCCTTCATCTAAAGTATCCTACAGTGGAAGGCAATAATCACAGGCTGTCAATGAGCTGAAGAACCAGCTATGGGGGGAAGATCCATGAAGAACAGAAACTCAGAAACACTGAAAGAATAAGAACACTTGAAATCAAAATGGCTGTGGATTGTCTATATTGAATTTTAGTGCACTTCAACACACTTGATATGTATTAAACTCTATGAACTATTAATAATGGCCAGGCCATTAGTGGGTAGTTTTAAAACATTCTTTTTGATTTTCTATAAGTATTTTGAATCAGAATATAAAAAAGGAAAAAAACTTTAAAAAATCACTTTACTCCAACTGAGGCCAATAGGAGAAGGGGACCAGGAACTAGAGAAAAGGTTAGATCAAGAAGAATTAATCTAACTTTAAAAGCAACTGAGGCCAATAGGAAAAGGGGACCAGGAACTAGAGAAAAGGTTAGATCAAAAAGAATTAACCTAGAAGGTAACACACATGCACAGGAAAGTAATGTGAGTCAACTCCTTGTATAGCTATCCTTATCTCAACCAGCAAAAACCCTTGTTCCTTCCTATTATTGCTTATACTCTCTCTACAACAAAATTAGAAATAAGGGCAAAATAGTTTCTGCTGGGTATTGAGGGGGAGGGGGAGAGAGGGAGGGGGCAGAGTGGGTGGTAAGGGAGGGGGTGGGGGCAGGGGGGAGAAATGACCCAAGCCTTGTATGCACATATGAATAATAAAATAAAAAAAAATAAATAAAATTTTACCCTGCTTAAAAAAAAAAAAAGAATTAATCTAGAAGGTAACATACATGCGCAGGAAATCAATGTGAGCCAATTCCCTCTATAGCTATCCTTATCTCAACTAGCAAAAACACTTGGTCCTTCCTATTACTGCTTATACTCTCTCTACAACAAAATTAGAGATAAGGGCAAAATAGTTTCTGCCGGGTATTGAGGGGGTGGGGGGCGAGAGGAGGGGGTTGGTGGGAGTAAAGGAGGGGGTGGGAGGTGGGAGGAGAAATGACCCAAACATTGTATGCACATATGAATAAAAAAAAATCTCTTTACTCAAGTGGTAAGGATTTCTCTTAATATATCCTTTAAAAAATTATGTTATACATGGCTCTCAAAATAATTCCTAGCTTGTTTGAAATATTTCCTTTTTCTAAATGATTCCCGAACAAGTTTTGAAGGGACAAGTCTTTCAAATTAAACTTTTTCAGGAAAGTTGAACTTGGAATTCTGAGATATTTTTGCTTTTATTAACATCTAGGAAAAAATGGTAAAATCATGGGTGCCCATATGGTGAGAATACAACAAAAGGATAAGTAGTTTGATTTGTATGAGGGGAGAAATAAAATTTAAAAAACATGAATAAAAAATATTTTATTGATTCTTTCCCACCCTGAAGGAAGTTCTAGTTTTAGGTCTTCATGTTATTTATATCATTATCACTTGATCTCTGTATTTCTTCTATTTTATTCTTTCTTGTTTGTTTAAAAGTTGTTTCTACTTATTTTTTATTTTCTTAGTCACTTTATTACTATCTTGATTTTTCAACTCACATATCTTAAAGCAAGTGATCCTCCAACTGGTTTGGAGTTTTATCCCATATGTTTCTGAAGGATACTGGCTAATGCTTAGTGATCCAGAGCAAGTTAGCAACCTCTTTACACCTAGAAGGTTATCAATGCTCATGAGTGCCACTGGTTATTACTGGAAGGCCTAAGGCAAAGGCAGAGGAGAAGAAAAAAGGGAGAATAAAGGGAGTGGGGAGAAAGGAGCTGAGTAATGGAAGATAGGTGGGCAGAAGGGGATACATGAAGTAGAAGGTGGTAGAGAGCCACAATTGCCTCAAATATGTATATATATATATACTGATAGAGTTTAACTTCCTGAATTAAAGGTGATGGGGTGCAAACTGAAAAACTCAGCATGGTTCTAAGACCATGTCTTTTTGTCTACTGAGGACTTTTGCTACTTCAACTATGTTACATATCTTAGAGAACTAGCAATATTTGTAGGAGAGAAAGTGTGTGAATTAGCAGCATGCTAGAGAATCTCAAAGACTTTTTATACTGTGAGAAATCATTTGAGTTTTCTTTTGTGAAATAATAACACCATTTGAAACAAAATAATAAATAATATACTATAATTTTTGTGTAATATTATACAAAAATTTCTTGAATAGATTCTGTTGTAGCAGAAATGCTCTCTATGGCTCATATGGACTAATTTTTTGGCAATGAGAAAAACTAAGAACAATAGTTTCTTTTTATCAAACTACTGCTACCTCATGTAAAAGATCACAGAACACCATTCTCTTTGAGAGAAATTCTGCATCACATAACTTATTTTCTCTCTCCTACTTTACATCCCAAGAACATAAAAAACAGATTTTCTTGTCACTAATATTTCATCCACTGTAGCTATTTGTTTTACTCTGCAAGGATTCTTTGTCATTTTATAGAGATCCTGCATGACTACAAACTATAAGATCAAAATAAGAATTTACTTTTTAGAGTCAAGAAGAGCCAATGAGACTACCAAAATAATAAAATAATTTTCCTTCTGGACAAGGTTCATTCTCATAAACATTACAGAAGGAATCAATTTGGAAGAAAAAATACAGGAGGCATTAGGGATTTCTTTATGTTTTGGCTTTGCCAGTTTCAGAAATAGTCTAATCTTGTGAGATCATGCTAAATGAGGCACATTCAAGATACATTTCCTGAGAAATAATACACTAACAGAAATAAAAGGATGTACTAGTAGAAATTAAAACATAGTATCAATCTCTCCACTATTTTATTTACACAAGTATATAAGAATAACGATTCATTTAATGTTACTCTCTCTTTTTGTTGATTTTTTGAGACAGGGTCTTACTATGTAGCCCAGGCTGCCTTGAACCTGTGATGCTCCTTCCTCAGCCTCTGGAATACTTGGATATAGCCATGAGCCCCCACACTAAGCTCTAAGTGTTATTCTTTTATTTTCCAAGATGGTCTAAGAAAATGTGTTTACAATAATAATAATAATAGTGATAATAATAATTATGATCTTGAACATTTAGAAAAATGATAATTGAATTTCTTTTGTGTGTGCCAGATTCTTTATTAAGGCTTTCTATGGCCTTATAATTTTTACAACAACCTGCTGGAGTAATTATAATTATTGCCATTTTAAAGATGAGAAAACTGAGGGCATTAGTGGGAAGGGAAGGTAAATGAAGAGGGTAAAGGAGGGTGAATATGGCTGATGTACTTTCTATCCATGTATGAATATGGAACATTGAAACCTGCTGGAATTAATCTAAGAAGGGGAGTGGGTAGGAGGGAGAAAAATAGAAAGGATGAACCAAACCGGGGTATAATATATGTATATATGGAAATGTTACAATGACACTCCCTGTATAACTATTAGATATTAATAAAAATGATAAAAAAGCTTTAAGTAATGTGTTCCAAGTTATATAAGTGAAACTAGTACTAGAACCCATATCACTTGACTTTGTTCAAAGTCCACACCTATCCTTAACCATTTGCTACACTGCTAAGAGATGATAATGGAACATAGAGAAGATTAATTAATGTTTTTAAATTATAAAACAAAGGCAGACTCTATAACTGATCATTAAAAAGGAATTGGCCTTTGAGGAGACATGTTTAACCTGATTTAAATATTATACAATGTATATATGTACTGAAACATTACATGGTGCCCTATTAATATGTATAATTTTACGTTTTTATATTTCAGTTAAAAAGTAAGTAAAAGCACTTGGTATTTTAAACAATCCTGATAAATTGGAAAATGATTTTTCAGACTTTTTAAAAAATATTGGCCTTCAGTTAATAACCAATACTATAATATGTTGCATTTTAAAAATTGTTAAGAGAGTAGATTTCAAAAGTTCTCACAAGAAATAAGTATGTGAAGTAATGCATATGTTAATTAGCTCAATGGAACTGTACCACAATGTATGCATATTTCAAAACAGGTTGTACATGGAAAAACTAAACCAAAAAATCCAGTAATAGTTTTAAGCAATTTAGTTGCATTTTCATCTTGGATACTTAGATTAGACTTTGGGCAGGAAAATGCTATTTAGAATTTGCTTTTAAACTTTATGGGTCTTGGGCAACTCAGTGTGTGACCTGCCTGCTCCAGGTTTTCAGAGCTTTGAATTATGGCATCTTCTAAAGAGAATTAAAGGTTTCCCTCATGCTTGCTTTTCATCAAGTCCTTCACTGATGTTTGAGCATAAGGCAAGACTGCCTCACTTAATCCCTGTGTTGGCAATCTGTTCATTTTTTCATAGGGCCATATAGATGTTTTCAACTAAAAGAAATTTGGAAGACTACCAAACAAAGACTGTATATGTCTTTGGCCATATGTAATGGTCAAAACAATAAATTAAAGTGTTGTATGCACATATGAATAATAAAACAATAAAAAATATACACAAAAAACAATAAATTATAGCAATGCTGGGCTTTTTGTAAGTAAGAATTCTCATATACCTATCATAATTTCACTGATGTATTAATCAACATTGTGCCAGCATATATAAGTATAGGTGTAGATTAGCATGATTACCTGTGAATGAAGTTATTCTGACAATCATGTGGGAAACAGATATAACAGTAATCAGGCTGAGCCAAAAATCTGAAGAGAAAAAAAGTGGAGTCTGATGATATTTAAGAAAACTAAAATATTTACCTCGGACAGCATAGCCATCTTTTACTGATGCTGGGAAGGGGGGTAGATTATCTTTTGCATATACATCTTGAGCAAGGACTCGGCCCATTCCATCTGAAAGAAAAGAAGGATTTGTGAATATTGAGGGCAATGGGGTAAGAAAGTAGTCATAAGCAAAATGAGCATGAGTGCTTGTCTCCCAAGGACTAGGAGACAGAAAAAAAAGATGCATCCTGGTGCCTAAAATAAAAAATTACATACAGTCAATTTATAGTAATGCTTGCAGCAATTATCCGAATCAGTTGTTTGTTACACAGTCATCAAAGATGTGTTCACTGTGTCAATAATCCTTTAATAACCAAAATTATAATTTTCTTTAAAAGCAAAGCCAAATCTTAAACATTTGATATGCACTAACCCGGTTATTTCCTCACTAAAATCTATCCTAAGAGATCAATTATTATGTATTTCAGAGTTGCTTACATTACTAAAAAAATGGAAAGAAACCAAAAGACCAATAATATAGGTATTTAAATAAACAATTACCTATTCTTATGATGAAATATTATGCAAAGTAATATTTATGAAGAGTATTCATGGACAAGGGAAAGGCTTGAAATATACATTTTAAAACATGCAAAAATGCAATGCAGTGTCTAATCTTGACTACATTAATATGCATGTGTATATATTAATAGAAAAGATAAAAAGGACATACATGAAAATATAAAGCATTTGTTCTATCAGCTTGCTCACAGTTAACCTCCTTGAATGGCTCCTTAACTAGAACTAATCTTAACTGGGGTAGTCCATCAAAATGTAAGCTCTACACTAACTGAGATTCTAAGAGAATGACTTTGCTGGGATTTTGAAAAGCTCATTAGTAGTGGTTAATAATCAAAAACAGCACAGATAACACAAAGAATTTTTCTGGCAGCTGGCCCTTAACAGGCTCACTGACATTTACTAAACGTTTACTAACATTTCATAAATTACTAAGTAATACCACATACATAATATCATTTAATTCAATAAAATCTAGTGAAATATTATGTTCACTTTGTACATGACGAAAGGGAGGTTTAAATGAGGTACATCAATTACTCAAGATCACATGTGGATAAAGTGTAATTTGAAAACATAGTTATGCCTTGTGCCTTAATCCTAGCTACTCAGGAGGGAGAAATTGGGATGATCACAATTTGAGGCCAGCCTGGACAAAAAGTTCACAAGACCTCATCTTGACCAGTAGAAGTTAGCTGTGGTAGCATATGTCTGTCATACAGCAACATAGAGAGCTTAAATAGGAGGACCAGACTGGCCTGGGCATAAAGTGAGATCCTATCTCAAAACTGACCAAAGCAAAAAGAGCTGGGGAGCATTGTTCAAGTTGCAGAGTGCTTGGCTAGCAAGCACAAGGCCCTAAGTTCAACCCCCAATACTGTCAAAATAAAGAAAAAAAATTGCTCTTAGAGTCATATTATCATCATAATAGCTATTACCACTCATGTCCATACTACCTACAGTTCTTCCCATATGTCCCTCACATTTCAAGGAGCTACAAGGCAGTTTTTCAAAAAATTAAATAATTACTTTATGAATCAGTAATTCCATTTGTGGGTATATATCCAACAGAACTCACAGCAGGAACTTAAATACTCATGTTCACAACAGCATCATTAACATTCATCTGGTAGAAGATTTAAGATAGATGGTCAATAAACAAAATGTGGCTTGAAATGTGTATGAATGAATGAACATAATGCTCTGAAAATAGGAGTATTTTTCAGTCTTCAAAAAGAAGGAAATTCTGAACATGTTATCCCACAGACAAACTTTGAAGATATTATGCTGAGTGAATTAAGCCAGTCATAAAAGGACAAATACTGAATGACTCCACTTATGTACAGTACCTAGAGTAATCAAATCATAGAGACAGAAAGTAGAATGGTAGTAACTACTGATTTGGAGGAAGGAACAGAAATAAAAGACTTGATTTACATGACATATTTCTTAATGTTTGTTTAATGAGTACAGAGTTTCAATTTGGGAAGACCAAAATGTTCTGGAGCTGGATGGTAGTGATAGCTATAGAATAATGTAAATATACTTAATGTCATTTTTCTGTATATTTAAAAATGAACCCCAGCAGAGCAGCCCAGCAACTAAGAGAAAGGATGGACAAATGGGACTTCATAAAATTAAAAAGCATCTGCACAACAAAAGAAATGGTCTCTAAACTGAAGAGACCACCCACAGAGTGGGAGAAAATATTTTGCCAGCTACACATCAGACAAAGGACTGATAACCAGAATATACAGGGAGCTCAAAAAACTAAACTCTCCCAAAAATCAATGAACCAATAAAGAAATGGGCAACTGAACTAAGTAGAACTTTCTCAAAAGAAGAAATTCAAACAGCAAAAAAACACATGAAAAAATGCTCACCATTTCTAGCCATAAAGGAAATGCAAATCAAAACCACACTAAGATTCCACCTCACCCCTGTTAGAATAGCCATCATCAAAAACACCACCACCAACATGTGTTGGTGAGGATCTGGGGAAAAAGAAACCCTAATCCTCTGCTGGTGGGAATGCAAGGTGGTACAACCATTCTGGAAAAAAATTTGGAGACTCCTTAAAAACCTAAACATAGACCTGCCATATAATCCAGCAATCCCACTTCTGGGGATATACCCAAAGAAATACAACACAGATTACTCCACAGGCAACTGTACACCCATGTTTATTGCAGCACTATTCACAATAGCCAAGTTATGGAAACAACCAAGATGCCCCACTACTGATGGATGGATCAAGAACATGTGGTACTTGTACACAATGGAATTTTAGTTAGCCATGAAGAATGAAATCTTATCATTTGCAGGTAAATGGATGGAACTAGAGAACATCATTTTGAGTGAGGTCAGCCAAGCTCAGAAGACCAAAAATCGTATGTTCTCCCTCATATGCGGACTTTAGATCTAGGGCAAATGCAGCAATGTGGTTGAATTTGGATCACATGATAAGGGGAGAGCACATTTCGGTGATATAGAAATAGGTAGAAAACATCAAAACATGAAAGTGTTTGATGCCTCTACTCCAGAAGAACTAATACAGAAACCTTAAAGCAACACAGGTTATCATGAGAAGGGAATCAGTAACCATGGTAAAGATCAATTAGAGATGAATCAACATGGGTCATAACACATATACACGAAAGCAATGCTAGGAATATTTCTGTATAGCTATCCTCAACTCAACTAGCAAAAAAACTTTGCCTTCCTTATTAGGCTTGTCTCTTTTCTTCAACAAAACTAGTGATAAAGGCAGAACATGACCTGCCCGGAACAGAGCGGGGAAGTGGAGAAGAGAGTGGGGGAGGGGGGCAGGGGGAAGAAATGACTCAAATAATGTATGCACATGTGAATAAAAAAATGAAAAAAAAAAAGATTAAAATGGTAAATGTACACGTTATCACTACCATCAACAAAAAAGCTACAAAGAACTGTTGGCTATAGGCATCAAGTTTGTACACAGCCATTTTTTCCACCCTAAATCCTTGTCAGTAGCCCAAAAGAAACAGCACATGCTTAGTATGGCTCTCTTGATTTCCATATTCCAAGAAGACAGGGCTGAGCACTTAGAATGCTGAGTCTGATGGACAACTGAAACAGAGAGCTGTAGATCTGCTTTTTTAAGATTTGGGTTCATGGGAGTAGAAGGAAGTTGATTAAGGTCTCACAGACAATCTAAAGAAAAGATTATTACCTGATTTACCTTCTCTCTGTAATGCCTGAGTTCCTCATCTTATTGTGCAATTCTATTCTAAAAGGTTACTATGGTATAGAATCTAGACGCTACTCAATCAAAATTTGATAAAATGTGGCTCAGGAAAAGTAAAAACTTTTTACCCCTATCCAAACATACACATAAATACAAGAAAATAGCCCTCAAATTTCTGAGGCTGAATAATAACTTCAGATGGAGAAAAATGTATGCATTAAAAAGAATAATGGTTATTTAACTGCTACTGAAAATTCATTAGACTGAAAAGTAAAAAACATATCCCATTATAAGAATTCTGCAGTGCTAGCCTAAAACTCATCTAGTACAATGTGGAAATGTTTATATTAAGAATGAGCTTTATTTATAACAAATGCCCAGTTTCTGAAATAAAGTATAATTTGTCAAATTATAACTAATGCTGGGCTTTTTCTTGTCTCTGTGCCCTTGCAGATTAATACTGCCTTGGACAGGAAAGTCTTTTTCTTTTTTTCTTTTCTCCTCCTCATAAATCTCATGCATCCTTCAAGGCTTGCCTCAGATGTCATCTCTTTAGTCTTCTGTCTCTTACCAAGGCAAATTAATTTATTCATTTATTTATCAAACATTGGGAAACTACCATTTACTAGACACTGAGGGCAAAAGTAACATTAAGACCTGGCTGATGTCCTCAAGGAGTTCATGTGTACAGTACATGTGAGAAAGAGGAACAGGAGAAATATTGAGAGGATTACAAGATGGGATAATATGGATAATCACAGAGATATGTATAGGGTGATATGGGAGACATACAGAGTATCACCTAATCAAGAAGTTGTAGAACATTTAGAAAAATCTTCCTAGATGAGGTAACACCTGAGTTGAATATTGAAGGATAAGTCAGCAACAGGTAGGAGGGGAGCATTTCAGACAAATGTGATGGTGCATGCTTGAAATCCCAGCATTTGGAAGGCTGAGGTCAGAAGAACGTGAGGTAGAATTCAATCTGGATTACACAGTGAGACCCATTCTCAAAAACAAAACAAAACTCAAAACACCTAAAACTTATGAAAGTACCAGAAGAAAATAGGAAAATGTTTAGGACATCCACCTTGGCAATGATTTCTTAAATATCATACTAAAAGTGCAGATCACTAAAGTAAACATAGACTAATAGGGCCATGTCAAACTTGAATATTTTGCTCATCAAAGAACTTACAGAGTGAAAAGGCAGTGAATGGAAGAAACCAACTGCAAGTCATATATATGATAAAGGACTAATATCCAGAATATATGAAGAAACTCTTACAACTCAACAAAGATAAAATAACCCAATTAAAATGTGAAA